CGAATTGCCGGGTCATAGTTACAAATCGAATTGTTCTTTCGCGTTTTAAACCGTTAAAACTGTTTTATTTTTGTATACTTAAAACAGTCTTGCTAATGTAGGATATTAATTTATATTTAAGAGTCTACCTTAATGTATTCGCACCGTATCTATTTATAAGTGTCGAGAACATGATTTATTTATGATTTAACGAGTTATGAATAATAAATCTATTAGAGCGTTTCCCTTGAACATTTGCTATTACGATACTAAAGCTTTCACAGCTAGTCACTGCCCCGTACCGTATGTCGCAAATGTATCCACGCTTTGAACTTACGACTTTCCAACCTTCGATAAGGATGCGCAAGACTGCACTTTAATTTTCAAACAGATTACGACATTCACGTCACGCTATAAACGTTAAGCTAAGGGCGCTATAAGGCCTTCATAAAACAGATATAAAATAAACTGACAACTGAATTTTAACGTACCATAAACTATCACTGAGCCCTAATTGTTGTATGTCATCCTCGCGGGCTACTGTACGGAATATTTACGAGTTGGATACTCGTAAAGTTTAACGCACTGTTAATATATACTTTGAACGTTCCCTTCATGCGTTCGAGCGTGCTTTAAAAGGCACTAGGACTGTCATTGATGAACTTAAACGTCTTTATTTATCGGTTATCGTGTGGTGAAGATGCTGGCTATGCTTTAATAGCTTACATGTTATTGAGCGTGACTGACGCGTTTGTTAATAGCTTTAATATTCATTCATGCTTAGAGATATACAAAGGTTTCAAACAAGCTTTTTATATGCTCGTAAATTAAACTGCACGTTATATAACAGAGTCTGTAGATACGAGGGCTTGGGATTCGGACGAAGAATTTGTTCGGTACTAGCTGTGTCAGCGACTTCGTCCGCGTAGAATAGTTCTTGCTATCTTGCATTTTTTAGATCATTTAAAGAAGAAACATTCTTTCATACCATATTCTTTGGGTATCTAACAGTTTTCTCAGCGTACTCATCGGAAACCCACAATAATGAATATTTTTCACCGTTTTTTTGCATTTCCTGCTGATTCTTTGCCCTTGTTAGTCGTAGCGTGATGTTTTTCACACTATAGCCTTCCTCGATAAATGCTCTAACCAACACAAAAGAGTTTTAAAATTCTCGCCAGTAGTTCCTGAGATTAGTGCGTTCAAACAAACAATTAAATTCTTCAGCTTTATATATTAGTATAGATTTGGTAGGAAAAATTTGTAGGTCCCGATTATCGTTACTAACAAAACTAACACTAAAGCCACTAACTTAGTGGCTGTAGTGTTAGTTTTGTTTTTCATTTTCCTTTTAATTGTCAATACCCGTATAATTAAAGTGTCTACTCTTGTTATCTGTCGGAACGGATACCTATTTATGAAATCTTCGACGTCACTTCAATTTTAAGAAGATAGTGGCAGTAATCTGTAAACGGCCCTTTTAAATTTACCGATTTTAAACACCTCTGGAATATCAATACGTTTCGTAGTATTTGCGAGTGTTGTACGCCGCGTTGTTCTCAGAGATACATCGAATATCTTTGGTTCCGATTGGTCGCCGACGCGTGAGGAATGCCTCGGTCTGGCGACACTAGAAAACGGAATATTCATATTGAAACGAAACGTCTCCGCAGTATCTCACCATCGTTGCTTGGTTCGTATGGTGTACTTTCACATGGCTTTCGTTAGAACCTTAGTTAAGTCGTAGAAGTATTTGCTTAATTATAATGACGAAAGTTTTACTTTACAACTTTTATTGTTCTGAATTAGTCTAAGACAGTCTATATAACAGTATATAAAAATACGATGACAACAATTTTTTTTTTAAATTGGAATAAGTATTCTTACAAGAATATAATTAAACGGTTCCTTATTACAAGCTGATTTAACTTATAAAAGCAATTGCCGAATATGGCAAAAATAATTTATTAATTTAACTAAATATTAATAAATAAACGAAACTAAAATCATTTAGAATATTTAGTGACATATAAATAATAAATTATATTTATACGCCAGATAAAACTTATAATATACTTTTGCAATAAAATTTTCATTAATTGCAGAGACAATATCATCAATAAATAGATGTAGACATTTGTAATGAATCGGTAAACTCCATAATCGCTGTTGTCTTACCGTTATTTTATTTAAGATTACGCAAAAGATTACGAACCACTAATACACCTTGACAGACCATGAAAATTGCGTTTTAAAGTCACAATACATTGCGTATAATGACGGGATATTGCTGTATGCTGAGGGTAGCCTACAATTCTTCTGTTTTCTATTAGGGTCAGTTTACATAATTCCAGTCTATATTTGAAGGAGCTGGTAACATCGTCTTTATAGTGCCAGTAATTTAAAGCCGAATCGTCAAAGACAAATTCGAACGGTTTTGTTTGATATGATGATGTGCAATGTCCTCCAGAGGGGGGAGGGGGGTAATGGATGTAATGGTTAGCAGCGAATGTGGAGTGATCACCAGGCCACTTATCGGTGTAATAGAAAATAATAATTAATTTGAGTAGATTGGCGTACATGATGATGATGGCTTTTGAATAGTTGTGGATATAAAAGTAGACCGCCTGTCTAGTTTCTTTACACACAGTAATCAAACCCTGGATTCATTTGCTGGACTGGAATAATGTTAACGGGTTTATAAAATTTCTGTGACGTCACGTGTTATCCACATTTTAGCTTGAACGATAGGTTATTGGAATTTGGGACAACGCGCGTGCTTGTTTAATCAACGAATATTTTTAAATAATCAGTCGCGTCATATTTTTCAACAATACCAAACAAGCGATTGTGTTCTATATATTATGTAGTATAAACAATGACCACTGCTCGCTCGTAAGATATTCGCTAACCAAGCGTAACATAACAGTAGGCGCTGAAGATTGTAGGTCACTGTCGGTATTATACTTATCATCATGCGTATGCAGTAATTGTTAATATAACGTGATATAACTGTTCTTTGCCGGCGCTAAGTATCCGTTGTGACGTACGTAACGATAGTGTAACAGCGTGGTAACGAAGAGGACGGTGAAATGAACATTTTCGTGTGAAAAAATGCTCAAATATCACCGGCGATCCCAAAGGCACAAGTCACCAGTACGATGTCTAAGATGGAGGTTAGTAACTCTGTTAGAAAAATGGTTTGAATCGCGAAATATGTTTGTTTATAAATTTTTTGGCTAAAGAGAGTAAAATTCACTAAATACAAACAACTGTTAAATATACAGGTTTATAAACAAATAGATAACATATTGTGCAAGGTATTAAGGTTTTTCTTATAATATTATTCATATATATATATATGAATAATATTATATATATATATTACTTCAGAAATTGATTTATTATTAGACCTTATAGAGAACGCGTAATCATATACAAATATATTTTCTAAAATAAATTAATATTTTAAGTCCACGACCATACCACGATAGAGTTATCGAGAGATGGTTTTTCCAATTCCGAACTAAGTGCTGTAACATTTGGCCTTACAGAAAAATCGTAATAGACTGCGAAAGAAATAGATTCAACCCAGAACAACAAACACACAGAAATTAAATAAAACACTTTAACGGTGTAAAACGCGATATATTAGTTAAACTCATTTATAAATGATTTTTAACTTCGGCCCGACGTTTCGGCTTTGCAGCAGCCGTGGTCACGGGGAGACGGGGATAAGTTTAACTAATATATCGCGTTTTAAACCGTTAAAGTGTTTTATTTAAATGTGTACTACTCGCGTAAACTATAGACAGTACACAGCAATTAGACAATTGTCTTTACCTAATTTCGATATTATATTAGTTACTTGACGTTACAGATCTTAGAATTCTTAAATACTGTTCCCATATACTATTTTCCAATATGCAATTAAGACAAATGGGCTAAATGCTTAGTGATACATTAAATTGGATAAGAAATATAATTAGTCAAAGCCACACTGTTCTATCTATGTAAAAGCAAGATTAATTAAAACCATAAAAAATAACAGCCTACATTTGGGTCATCATTAAAACTATAGACGTCCAGGGGCGGTGTCCAGTATAGCTACCGTTAGTTACTCGCGGGATTATAGTAGGTCACAGACAAACAATAGCAGGCATATAAAAGATCTAAGTAAACATGAGCTAGATTGCAAAATAAATACAAGTAAATGGGAACTGCAGAGGGTTTACTCTATAACCGGCTATAAATGCCTAATAACTTAAAGGACTATATATATATTAAAACAATAGTAATATAATTTGGAACCAAAGATAGTAATGTATATGTAGCTTGTAACTGATATAGTATGTATAGCTATTAAACCACGGATTACCTGTTCAATTACCACCGGATCCACCATATTTCTAAATCTTTTAATTTATGTAAACGTATTAGATCTCGTCATGAATAGCTGTACTTTAAATTGATGGTAGAATATGTACGGAGCACGAATATACAGGAGATATAGTCGTCTAGTGCAAATCCGCGATTCGATTTCAGTCATTATTTTTATTTTATTTACACTTTATTGCACGAAAAGATAATGAACAAAAATATAAACGAGACTTATATACTAAAAATATGGAGTGCAACGAGCGATCTCTTCCAGGCAACCCAAGATGAAAGAGGAAATAGTTTACGGGAAAACGAGATATGCAAGGTGAAATTTAGAAATGTCCTAGTGAATCCGATTCTTGTCTTTTTTGCTCTGGCGCTAAAAATTAAATATATCTTGTAAAAGATTGGCAAATAATTTTTTAGAGCAAAGTAAAACAGACATTACTTGTATTTACTATCTAGAGTAGATAGCAAGATTTTTCTTTTTTAATTCCAGTTGTAACGGTCCCTATTCTTTAGATCAATGCCAGTATTTACTTAAAATTGTATTCAAAATAGCAGGCCTTATATGGGCAATTTATAACATGTCTCGTCCAACGAATTTAAAAATATAATTTTAATGTTTCACATTTTTATAGATCATCTGGCGACTCGGACACAGCAAGCACGTCTGCTGTCGAAACGACCCTGGAACGCTTGCGGGGTACTCGTAGCGCACTCGAGGAGTTGTGGTCAGATCGTGAGAGGCGACTTGAGCTTACACTTCAGCTGAGACACTTCGAAAGGGATGCGTTAGAGGTAGGAGCTGTACAATTTATTCAGACACATTTTCATACACCTTTTCATACCCTTGATAATGCCTTGCTTCGAAATGCGATGTCGACCTATTTCGGCTTATATATTCGGATATTCGGAAATCGGGGATCGAACCCACGTCCCGTTGATTATTAGTCAAACATTGCTACCATTCGACTGTTGAAGTGATGGGTCATAAAACATTAATTTAATTTAGGTTTAAACCAAAAACAATGTTTCTAAAGCAATATTAATTGTAGAATACACTCTACTTTTTATTAAGAAAAATCACGGGCACGTTACGTTATGGGGCAATGACTTCCAAGCATAGTAAAGCGTGACATTTTCGCGGAACAATGCTTTTTAATGCCTTTTATGAATTATACAATAGAAAATTAAATATTTGCGGCCGTAATAGTGCACTGTTGATAAGACATTTTTTTTCTATATGAAACGCAAACAATACTACAAAACGAAATACTATTACGTAGTTTTATCGTGATATACCATGATATGGAACGACAGTTTAGTGGGTCGACTTCGGTTCTGTCGAGAGCTCGACTGTCTATTCAAATAAAACACTTTAAACGATTTAAAACGCGAAATTTATAAGTTAAACTTATTTATAAATTATACCCGGCCATACTATGACCGCGGATGTTGCAAAGCATCCGAAATGTCGGACCGTTTTTAAAATAATTTATAATTAATTAAGTTCAACTAATACATTGGCGTTGTAGCCCGTTAAAAGTGTTTTATTCAAATGTGTACTACTCTCGTAAACTACAGATATTTGATATATTTGATTTGATTATTTGTTACAGACAGTGATATCTGTATGTAGTGTTATAAGGGTACCTTTGTATCGATCAATTATTAACCTTGTCCACGGCCTTGATAAAAGGAAAGGAAAAATTGTGTCAAATAAATACAAGACATGTCTAAATTAAAAATACACGTAATGTTGTTAGGAAACTGGTATATTATACTGTCGAGTACTAAATTGCAGTCTGTTGAATATAATTACCCTAAACGTTTTACTTCTCACATCTAGGCTTTTCAAGGCTTTTCATATTTCGTACTTAGTAATTTACTTAAGTCGATAATTTCGTAACTAAATTCGAATTTATTCACATATTAGATCGGTTAATTTTATCTTTAATGTGAACTACGCTTAAAGTTACGTTTGTTTCTTACCTTTTCCTGTTAGCTTAAAACATCTATCTCGATATTCTCCTTCGAAGCTGAATTGATAAGCACGAGAGGTCCTGGGTTCAAATCCCGGGTTACAGAAAACATTTTTTTTTGTGTGATTATTATTATTTATATTGGTCCGGGGCCATCAATAGTAGACGGCCGTTTCGCCGTGTTTGCGGCTAGACCCAGGGCTGCCTGAGGGGGGAGGGGGGCATTGCCCTCGGCTTCGACCACCGCAATGATGGTGGAAGCTTGAATAGCTGGACGGATGCTTACCCAAGCGCGCGGCAGAAGTATTCAACTCCTCGCCTATGAGAGAAGATGGGAACCAGATTTTACGTCGATTTCTAAGTTGAAAATGTTGTTTCTTTACCTGTTTTAGATGAAACAAAATGCTTTCAGGTATCATCGCGACTTGAACTATGGGGAGACGAGCTACAGCGCAGTGAACCACCACGAGATCCTCAGCAAGCAGAGCAAGCACTCGCAGCGCACAACGAAAGCGTGGCTAGGATGCAACATGCCACCTTCCAGGTAAACCTTAATTCACCCTTCAGCAGAACATTCTAGTCCTTACAAATGAATTGAATTACAATGAATGTATGTGAGAAGTCCCAAATAGCGGAGCCTGAGAAAACGTAATTTGGGCCGGGCAGGGCATAGAAAACTAATAAAATATACATTTTATCGAATAGCGAAACAGACTCAGACATGTGTTTACCCTGTGCACCATACAAGAGTGTCGCGGTTTCACTTCTTTCGGACTCAGCCACTTTTACATTTTGTCTATCCAACGAGGGCATTACTTTTGGTAGAACAACTATTAAATAATGTAAAACTTACTAACCAGATATTATTTGATCTTGTCTATAATTCGAGTAAACAAAAATAAGAGATAATAATAATCTCAAAATGATTCAATTTACAGGTAGTGCAACAAGGTCAGGAGTTAGCAGCGGCGATAGCGGAAGCGTCAGACGTGATGGCGTCCAGCTCCGACAGTTCCGAGGGTGCCCCGCTAGATGCGCAGGCGCGAGTTCAATTGCTGCTGGAATTCCTCCATGACCGTCAGCTGGACTTAGAAGAGCTTGCCGAAGAACGGCGGGCCAGATTTGAACAATGCGTTCAGCTAGGTAACTAGCTTCAAAATAATCTATTTATGTATTGTTGTTGACGCGACACGAAAACACTTTTAACGGTTTAAAACGCGAAATGTATTTGTTCACTTATTTACTTATACAAAGTATACTCATATGTACAGATTTTCTCCTTAAATTGGTAAAGCTATAATTCATGCAACAGACCCTGTATTCACCTAATTGAAAACATAAAAAAAAAATAGATCTTATGTAGATGTCTTCAAACACTCTCTAAAACATGCAATTTAATTGTTGTTTTATTATGTATTTCAATAACATTAGCGATTAAGTAATTAATTCAAATGTAGAAATGATGTAAATGAGGGCAGAATGTGTCGTTACTTCACACAAATACAATAAAAGTAAAACTGTATATACTCAATCAAACTTCAACGTATAAATACCAGAAACATTTATAGGGGGAGGTAAGTAAGCACTTTTAAAGCCTCAATACAATTTAATATTACAAATCTGTACGAATGAAATTTTGACAATCAAAATATTTTTTATCACTTCTTAATATATATTGACCGCCTCTGTAGCTTAATGGTTAAACGTGTCGCCTAGCATTGCGATAAGCGCAAGATGTCCCGGGTTCGAATCACGGGGAAACAGTAATTTGTTTCGGTCGGACAGGGCACAGAAGTCTGATCAACTACTTCCGAACATCGACCACTGAAACGGACACAGAAATGTGTTCGCCCTATGCCCCGAGGGGAAATGGGATTTCACACTAATATATATTATAAGTACATGTTATCTTACACCCAATATAAGGTGTATACAAATTAAATATAAAAAACTAACAGTTAGTCACAAAGCAAGTTTTACGTGTTGCGAGAATACTTGCAAATTTAAATAAAACACTTTAACGGTTTAAAACGCGATATATTAGTTAAACCTTTTTGAAAATGATTTTTTTCCCCCCCCCCCCCCTCCGCCCCCTCCCCCCCCCCCCCCCCCCCCGGGAGACTAGAGGCGGGGGCCGCCCCCCCCCCCCAAGAAAAAATTTCCCCCCCCCCCCCCCCCCCCCCCCCCGCTGGGGTTTTTGGCCCCCCGGGCCCGGCCCCCCCCCCCCCCCCCCCCCCCCCCCCCCCCCCCCTTGGTTGGCCTTTTTTTGGGTTCCCCCCCCGGGTCCCCGGGGCCCCCGGGCTTTGGCCCCCCCCCCCCCCCCCCCCCCCCCTTTTTTTTTTTTTTTTTTTCCCCCCCCCCCCCCCCCCCCCACCCCCCCCCCCTCCCCCCCCCCCTCCCCGGGTTTTTGGGTGGGCGAAGGGGGGGGGGCGCCCCGGCCCCCCGGGGGCCGCCCCGCCCCCCCCCCGCTTTGCGGGATTCCCTCCCCCCCCCCCCCCCCCCCCCCCCCCCTTTCCCCCCTTCCCCCCCCCCCCCCCCCCCCCCGGCGGCCCCCCCCCCCCCCCCCCCCCCCCCCCCCCCCCCCCCCTCCCCTGTTCCCCCGCCTTTTTTTTTGCTGGCTTTCCCGCCTTTTCCTTCCCCCCCGGCCCTGGTTTCCCTTTCCCCCCCCTGCCCCCCCCCCCCCCCCCCCTCTCCCCCCCCCCCCCCCCCCCCTCCCCGGGGGGGGGGGGGGGGGGGGGGGGGGGGGGGGGGGTCCCCCCCTTCCCCCCCCCCCCCCCCCCCCCCCCCCCCCCCCCCCCCCCCCCCCCCCCCCCCCCCCCCCCCCCCTACTTGCAAATTTTCACAGATTACATAATAAGAATACATTGTTTGAATTATATTCGCAAAATGGTATTAAGTGAAATATAATAGATACTTTAAAGTAAGTTTTAAGCAGTTTAAACAGAATACACTAAATCACAGTAATAATTCATGAGTACTCTATAAAACGCTACTTGTCTTTCCAGGTCAATTCCAAAAGGACGCCGCCCAAGTGGTTAGCTGGATACGAAACGGGGAGGCGATGCTGGCTGCCTCTTTCTCCATTCCAGGGACGTTGTCTGAAGCTGAGCAGTTGAAACGTGAGCACGATCAATTCCAGGTGGCTGTTGAGAAAACTCACGCAAGTGCTGTACAGGTGAAGTACAGGGCAGACGCGCTACGTGCCGCCAATCATTATGACCCGCATACAATCAGGTGATTATTATTCAATGATCAAATTCGTTTTAGTATTTATATTGGTTATAGTTTGTACGACATTAAATTTTTCTTTTCGTTTTTACTACACCTATTTTTTACATGCTTATAAAATTCATCTAAATTGAGGCCGCTAGTGGCAGAGTAGTCTAACTGCAGTTTTATATAGTCTAAACACGTTATAACAAGAGCACAGTGAGCGAAAATAGTTAAAATAATTCTTACTCAATAATAGTTAAATTATGTTTTCTTCTTATCTAAAATCATGTTATTGTTATTAGCCACTCTACCGTTAGGGGCCTCAATTGATCTAGTCTATCGTTTGAGTTCGACTCCGATTTTTTTCTTACCATAGGCGATTTTACTATTTCCCTTTACTTCGATAAAATCGATTGTTAAAACGCGGATTTAATATATACAGCTTTGCCTGATACCATGATATTTACTTAAGATTTAAGAAAAAATTTTCAAAAAAAAAATTAGTACATATAGTTTATTACAGATTTATTAGTTTTAGATTAAATATTTCTAAAATAAAGCCTTGCGTATGTATATTATATACATCTTATAAAACATTGCCCATTTAAATAAGACACTTAACGACACTTAAACGAATATACTGCACGTTTTTAACCGTTTATATTTAAATTTGTACAACTCGCGTTAACTACAGATTGAAGTCCATTATGAGGCAAACATACATAAGTATGTGTGTATGCCTCATAATTTATATAGCGATAAAATTTTATTGCATACAGTATCTAATTGCGCCTATTATTGTGTCTACAGAGAAATTTCCGAAGAGGTGACTGAAAGGTGGCAACGTCTAGTGACGTGCGCTGAAGAACGTCACAAGTTGGTCACCGCATCTCTGAACTTCTATAAGACGGCTGAACAAGTTTGCTCCGTACTTGATTCCCTGGAACGAGAGTACCGTCGCGACGAAGACTGGTGCGGTTCTGGTGCTGCTATTTCCACTATAACATCTGAGGATACGCAGAGTCAGACACAGAACTTGGATAAGGCGGCTCAGGCAAGCATATGAAGCTTAAAGTTGACACTCCATAGTTACAAGTTATCAAGTTGTATTTTTTACTTTAATTACTGTTGCTTTTATGTTAAGTATTTCCATATCTTATTTCTTTCTAAGCAATTATGCATTATCTATTGTTTTATGGCATGTATGTGAGTTATGTATATGTATATCGTCTTGTCGTTTTAAAATGGAAGTCACTTCTTGAAACATTATTTTACGTACAGCAGTAGATCCGAGTAATTAGTTAGTTTAAAGTTTTCATTTGGCGATTAGTACGTGTGCTACGTACACTACAAGAATACTGTAAAATTTGTGCAAAAATGATAATCTCAGTTCCGTTTGACCGTACGTGCAAAAATGTTATGGAGTTCTTTTTGCTATGCTATATAAACTATTTCAATTCATAATTAAATGAATTATAACAAACTTTGTTATGAATACATATATGATATAAACGTTTCACACGATTCGCTGTGTTGAGACTACTGTAGTGTGAAACTGAAAATGCAAATAATTTTACGTATTACTTATTATTTATAAACGTTAACTTTGAAAGTTGGAATATGTTGTAGATGGATGTTGAGATAAAGGTTAAAAAGAAAAATATAAGTATTTTAATACGTCATCTCCCATTCCAGGTGGCAGCACTAATAGTGAAGCACGGCGAACAGAAAGAGGCGTTCCTAAAAGCATGTACGCTCGCAAGACGTACCGCGGAGACATTCCTGAAGTATGCAGCGCGGTCTGCCCAAGTGCACGGGCAGACAGCGGCCGCGAGCAAGGCACATCATGAGCAGACTCGTGCTATACTTGATACTCTGCTTTCACAGGAGAATAAGGTAAGCATTTAGATTCTAATCTAGTATACCTTATTCATTTAAATGTGTTCTAATCGCGTTAACTACAAACACTATTTCAATTGATTACTATGTAAAACCAGTTAATAAACCGTTTCACATTTCAATAAAACACTTCGAACAATTTAAGAGGCAAAATGTCGTGCCGCAGTTGAAATAATTCGCAAATAAGTTTAACTTATACACTCCGCGTTTTAAACTGTTAAACTTGTTTATTTAAAATGTAAATAACTAAGTATTGTTTCGCGTTTCCAAAGCCAAAATAATATTATTTTGGCTTTGGATATATATTTGACTTTTGGTCCACAAACTGATGGTGATTCAGTAAATTCATTTGTACAAAGACTACACGGTATGCAGAGGGTTGTGGCTATCCACAACCCTCTATTTAGCCCTTGTTATAATTTTAACAGGTATCTTTATTGGCATTCAACTAGTACAGTTCTAGTCAAAAAACGAGTTCCGTTTAAAACGAAATTATTTAAAATATATATATATTTAAAAAAACATTGCTACAAGATAATGCGTTATAAGTATGTTACGATATACAATTATTCATAACTATTTACATCTCATAAATGTCGATAATAGCGATTTTAATAACCAATCACATGCTTACAAACACAATACTGTTTGTGGTTAACGATAAACGTTGCCTCAAGTCTAGAACACTAGACAGCCTGGCACCGATCTAATACAATTAATTCTATTTTTAAACGTTATCAGTGCTAATTGGTGTTTTCCGGGTGCATAGTTAATAGCGAGGTTTCAGTACTGTGTATTCGAACAAGTAGGTATTAGGTACAATGCTGTTCGGTGGCCTAGTGTATTATTAACGATATAATTCCGTTGTATAGCGACACGCGATTATGCTCGGTATTCTTTTCATGTAATCGCGAATCATTGTCAGTGTCATTGCTGACGGTTTGACAATAAGGCTTTTGTTCGTTTGAGATGGTATCAGCTAGGCCCTGCAGATAATGGCCGGTGATTCTACATTGCAGACGCGCTACATGTTCAGAGCCTTTGTTATGATTTTGATACAACCGGTAATTTTTTTTATATTTCTTTATTTATTTGTGACTAAGTGAAGAAAAACAGTGCTTTGGTATATTAAATTGTGTTTTTAACACTTTGATATGTATAACATTTAAAAAAATATATAATTTTCTTGGCAATGTACCTCGCGTGTGAATTGCACGGGTACGCACAAAAATTGCGTACATGCGTGTAAACTTTGGTACGTCACCACCAACCATCATTTATTCTTTACCCTAAAACTAGATGATCATACCTAGTGTCAATGGTGATAAATATTTATACTTAACAGGTACTAGAACATTGGACAGTTCGCAAGAAGCGTCTGGAGCAGTGCCAACAATTCGCGTTGTTCGAGCGTTCAGCGCGTGCTGCTGTAGAGTGGATCCGCGAAACGCAAGAGCGTTGCGGTGCTGCTGCGGCTGCAGCAGCTGCTGGAGTTGCTCGGGAGAGCAGAGAGAGGGTACGACTTTTGGCACAGCTAGCTGACGGCCTCGTGGAGAAGGGGCACCCCCATGCCGTACAGATTAAGGAGTGGGTGGCCGCTGTAGATGCTAGGTACGTATAGTAATTTAAGTATAGTAGTATATGATGACTAAAACAAGAAAATTTGTAATCTGATTTTGATACTGATATTAAAAAATATTCATATAAATCCACGGTATATACTTACTAGAACTTACATAAAAATATCTTCATTATTCGTACATTTTTCCGACTCTTATTCCTATAACCATGTGTTGTTTAAAATACACTCTCTCTGATTCTATTAGATATAACTAGGCTGTTATATCTTTATTCTCTATTTCACACCAAATCTGTATTATTGATAGATATGCCGAGTTCAGTGGTTCTATGGAGGGCGGTGAAGTGGAAGTCGAAAGCGATTCGGGGATGGCACCCTCTCTAGCCTCTACGCATTCTGAAAGCGAAGTTCGAGGGGAGACACAACCTCCCGCCTCCGCTGATGAGAAGAGACGTAGTGCAAGACGCAAAGAGTGAGTATATTTAAGTCCTTATTCAAGTACTTCTTAATTCAAACATATATCAAAACGATAAATTACTAGATTTCACAGTTATTGAATTTAGAATTAGATTTTGATCGATAATTATTTAATTTTTACTTCACCTTTATAATGTCTTATTTTGGTAGTTCAATTCGGTTTTGTAGACATAATAATGAATTGGTGACCATAGCCACATTATAAAACACATTGTATTGTTATATTAGATTCATAATGGCGGAGTTGCTGCAAACTGAACGCGCATACGTAAAAGATCTTGAGACGTGCATCACTGGATATCTTCGTGAAATGCGCCAAGACCCAGCCTCTGTTCCAGCGCCGTTGCAGGGCAAGGTAAGCCAAGATGGAGGTCCACTCTCTGAGAAAGCACTATTTGTATATTTTAGGTCAAAAATCTATATTTCTCTAAGTATTATCTCGAATATAAGGTAACAATGTATTTTGTATTTAGGAGGAACTGATATTTGGAAATATAGAAGAGATCCATCGTTTCCACGAGCGTATATTCCTTCGGGAGCTGGATAAATATGAAGCATGGCCAGAAGACGTAGGACATTGCTTCGTCACTTGGGCGAGACAGTTCGATATGTATGTGTCGTACTGTCGCAATAAACCCGACAGTAATGCAGCGGTCGTGCAACACGCTGGAGACTACTTTGAAAGGTATTAAGAATTTTTGAAACATTTAAAATTCGGTGACGCAGACAAGATTCGATACCAAAACAAACAGTTGAGAATTCTAAAAGAACGTGTAAATAATATGAAAATTACTACATTTGAGTAAAAATCCACTCCAAATTTATGATAAAAGAGGTAGTTTATTTTATTATTATTAGGTTTATTACAGTATTTCCTTTGAAAAGACGGAAGTTTTTAATTACATGTATAAATACATATCATAAAGTGTATAGCGACATCTCTTGAGCTTTATGTAGAATATTTACATAGCTATTTCCTAGTTTCGAGAATTTGTACACAGATGGCGCTGCAAAGATATAAGTTTCAAAATTATAAATAAATAAATTATTTATTATAGATAAGATTTTTGATTCAAGAATTATTCCAGGGTTCAACGAAGGAAAAAGTTAGAGCACCCGTTAGCGGCGTACCTCATCAAGCCGGTACAGAGAATTACGAAGTACCAACTTCTTTTGAAGGATCTTCAAGCTTGCTGCGCTGAAGGTCAAGGGGAGATTAAAGTAAGTACTTCAGTCAATAGTCGAACTAGAATACATTGTTTTAAAAAGTTCTTATAGCTATTCTTACTTAGAATTATGTGGTTTGTCAATTATACTAACATATTCTAACTCTGTTTTCACTAAACTGGCTTAAAATTTGTATAGAAGATGTCGATGTGTTTCGATTCAAATAGAGTTTACTTCACATCAAATGAAAGTAGGTAGAACAATTCACATGGTAAACGGAATTAACCATACATAACAGCTCTCGAATTGTAGATCGAACAGAAACGTATGTATATTTTATACGGTCGAGAAAGCTAGACAGAATGTGACATAGTTGAATCATTAAACCTTATATGTAACACACAGCTTACATCTCTCAACTTTACACCTATCTTGATACCAAGAGGATTAAAGAGAAATTTTGCTTTTTCCTTAAATAAATCACTTTAAGCGTTAATATATTTCAACTTTAAGTTTAAAAGGTGAAATATATTAAACTTACGTCATCACGGGTACACTACTGCAAACCATCCAAAATGTCGGGCCGTAATTAAAATAATTTGTAAATAAGTTTAACTAGTACATTTAAACCGTTACAAGTGTTTCGTTTAATTCCTAACAGTTGTGAGCGTCTTTTATCATTTACACTACCTTTAATACTACGAATAGAAAGGCAAGATGCAACTTTATTGTCTTACGATGTATTTACGTTATAACGTTGCTTTGTAAACATTACAACACACTGAACAGGATAGTTTTTGCTTATAGAGCGTTATAACCTCGACGAATTTCTCTGCATCCGCAGTCAGGTGGAAATCACAAGTGTTATCTTCTTAAAAGTCTCTTCGATTATGACTTGCGATAAGATAAGTTACCGTAATGGACACACTACGTTGCTCAGAAACGTTCTAATTGCGTCCGCAAACAATACGTGTGTTACCGAATTTCGTCCAGACTTAACTTGTTTTATATAAGTGCTAAACAGTATTTAGATTGTATGTGGTTATTGAATTTCTGAAATATCTCCGATCGTTTTAACAGTAAGTAGACAACATAAAATAATCTACTATTTGTTTTTTTTAAGAGCTATCTGCCATAGTATTTATATTTAAGATTATTGAGACTTATCATACAACCAATAATTATAGTGGAGAAGTCTTACATTATTTGAAGTCTTATATTATTTGCTGTTAAGTTCCAAAATAGGCCGACACCGCATCTTGTTTAGATGCTATAGGCTGGGGTATTTCACCTAGCAACAAGTGGACCCAGTTCATGTCTGTCCTCCTGTATAAAAAAAATAATAATCAGAAGTAACAACGAAAACAATTAACTAGTGTTGACTCACTTCAATGTTAACCCAAAACTACAATGTCATGTATTTGTAAGATTAGATTCAAGTTAAATACTGTCTATAGTTTACGCGAGTAGTACACATTTAAACAAAACACTTTAACGGTTTAAAACGCGATATATTAGTTAAACTTCTTTGAAAATTATTTTTAACTTCGGCCCGACGTTTCGGATGCTTTGCAGCAGCCGTGGTCACGGGGAGAGTTAAAAATCATTTTCAAATAAGTTTAACTAATATATCGCGTTTTAAACCGTTAAAGTGTTTTATTTAAATATATTCAAGTTGCTTAACTATAACACAACATTTTAAAGTTTTAAGTAATTCTTTTAAACTAATTTAACTATAATCATAACAATAACGATTATAAAATATGATAAACTAATAACTAATTATTTACAAATCACCAGCCAACTAGTTAAGTCAACAATCGTTTTTTATCGCTTCCGTAACTGTTTTAGTAGGTATACACTCGTCCAACAAACTCTTTTCTAGTGATTCGTAATAACCCCTAGATTCTTCACGCCATCAAAACGACATCGAATATCGATGTTCTAATATCATACTTCGAGTTTTACCATCAAACGTCTAAACTCTAAAGCTAGACTTGAATTTCTTTTATCGCAACTGCTAACGACCTTTGTTTAATGGCGTAAACCCATTACGTGGTATCGGTTCCAAATGTTTGTGTTTCATTACCACTTAAATACGTCGAACATGAATATATTTGAGATTAAACAAACTAGACGTAATTAACAATTGGTTTAAAACAATATTTTCCTTATGATTCATTCGTGTTGCACATCGGTCCGGGACTTGTACCACGAGTGCCTATTCTCCTTGATTTGATTAATTGTTCAACTGTACCGTCATGTGGAATGGTCCGTTTCAGTGTTGATAGTGTATTTCTGATAATGCTTAAGTATATTAATAGTCATCGACAAAACCGGATTGAGCCTCGTAATCATGCAATTGTACGTATTTTGTTCACTTTTTGTGTTTGTTTATTTGTCTGGTCACTAGTGGTTCACGCTCTAACAGAGTGGTTCCCAAACTCTTTTATTTCATAGTCCACTTTTAAGATTTCCTGGTACCGATGGGGGGCAGCTAAATCACTATAAACTTTCGTTATCTCGAGAAAAAAGTGAAGATAGGATTTATTTAGGGAAATAATAAAATAAAAGGATCAATTCATATAAAGGTCCACAGGACAGGAAATTACTTCTCTAACACATATATACTGGATTTGCGGCATAGGGTGCTTATAAATTTCCACAAAGTTTAAATGTTTAACAAGGATCGCTCTATAAATTACGAAACGAAACTGTAAAAAGAACGTTAAAAACGCTGTGTAATTTCTATCGGAGTTCTATTTCTTTTTATTTAGCGTATTTTTATCGAAATTGTATAGCCTTGACATTTGTTAAGATAGAATCTCAGGATTCATTAAACTAGTACCTAGATGTGTCAGACGTCGTTACACGATTCCTAATTGCACGAGTGATAGCCTATCAATTCATTACCATCTTACAGAGTTTTACGACAACGAAGTTTTTGTATTACGAACAATTCAAGCGAAAGCGCAAGATTGTATGAAGATGATATGTAAACAAGCGTATTAAATTACTCATTTGGTTATAATTAGCTTGTTTTTCGATTTGTCTGTTTAATATTTCGAATTTTGCCTACTTATAATTATCATTTCTGTGTGTCTGTCTGAGTTCTTTGGTCAAGGATTCCTCGGTATCACATTCTGTCAATACGTCAATTGTTACGAAGCGTTTTCATTTGCGGCAGTCTTGCGGTGGTTTTCCTGAATTCTGTAATTCTCATAAACAACTGTGAATAATCAAAATATCTATTTGCCAGTTTTGTTCTTCAATCACTGCGAGGATCGACACTACGGTTCAATTTAAAGTCAAAGCGCTTTGTTAGTCTAAACTTATATCTTATTTTATTAGGACGGATTGGAGGTTATGCTGTCCGTGCCGAAGAAAGCCAACGACGCCATGCACCTTTCAAACCTCGAGGGTTGTGACGTACCAACGGACAGTCTCGGTGAAGTAGTGCTACAAGACTCCTTCCAAGTCTGGGACCTGCGTCAGATCATCAAGAAGTGTCGGGAACGGAGGGTATTCCTCTTCGACCTGCATCTACTCCTCGCCAAAGAGGTGAAAGACACTCACGGGAAAGCCAAATATATATACAAAACGAAATTTATGGTGAGTCCACTTATTTTCGCTTACCTATATATTAAAAAATGTTGGACCCGATGTTGAATGTTAAACCGTTGATTACATTTATACCATACATTTCTACTATTAGACCAACAAGTCCGTCATTTGTTTATAGACTTCTGAACTCGGTGTAACGGAGCACATAGAAGGCGACGAGTGCAAGTTTTCTGTTTGGACCGGCCGTGAACCGATGGCCAGTGACTGTCGAATCATGCTCAAAGCTCCCTCGTTGGAGGTCAAACAAACTTGGGTGCGGAGATTACGCGAAGTCATACAAGTAAGTTTTCATAAAACATATCAACTACTAGCTCATCACGACGTCGGTCGCGTCCCGTCGTTCTTGCAGGTTAATCTTAAAAGATAGATATATGCTGTCGTGTACATTTTTTAGATCATACATATTTTTTGGGTATCTAGAACTGTTTTTGCAGTGTACGCATTAGAAACCCAAAAATGAATATTTTTTGCTGTTTATTAAACACTTACCGCTGTTTCATCGCTCTTATGAGTCACGGCGCGATGTTTTATAGCTTTCCTCGATAACAGATCTAAACAACACGAATTTTTCAATTCGAACAAGTAGTTCCTGATGTTATCACATACAAACAAACAAACAAAGTCTTTATATATTATTATAGATAACTTCAACGCTACAAAATAAGTATATGTTTATGGGGTGAACGCATATCTGTAACCGAAAACGTTTCAAACTCACTAAAAACTGAGCAAATCTTTTATTTATACGCAAGTAATTGGTCAGATTTTTGTTTCCTGTCCAAACGAAACAATGCTTATTTTCCCGGTTTCCCTTTGTGTCGTCTATGTCGGTTTTGAAACAAATACATGGACACCGATTTTTTCGAAACTAAATTTCTTCCCGGCATTTGATAGCAGGATCAATCTCGTTAGGCAATGGGTATCACAATTATACAATGGGGCCGATCAATTTTCATTATCCAGCCGCTTCACTTGTTTTATTAACATTGTAACAAAAATTGGCAGAATTGACGTCACTTCTAACAGCAATCCAGGCTTGTTTGCCTCTCGCAAATATAAGACTGATACAACATTTGCTGACGTTATTGCTCGGAAATAGGATTTATAGTCGTTAAGGATTATGGTCTACTTTCCCGAGTCGGCTACAAAAATGATTGTACCTTTCGTGTTGGATTGTCCTATTGGGTTTTAACAAATGTTTACATTCAGTATTTTTATCGACTGGTTGTAGTTAAAAAATAGAATTTCTGTTTTAAAATAAGCCAAAACGATTCTCTTGTTTGTTGTACATAATGCAAATTAAAAATCGATTATAAATTAAAAAAAATTGCGACTCGGACAGGACTTGAACTGGAATCCACAGCGTTCCGTGCTGTTGACTTAACCAATCGAGGTACTGAGTCCGAGCTAGCTCTCTTATCGAATGTATTTTTTTATAATTTATAATCCATTTTAATTTATATAGTGCCATCATGTGCAAAATATTACAGTTTATGTAAATAATTCATTTTTTAAAACAGGAAACATACTTCAACAAAGCTCTACCACCACGAAGTCCAGCGCGCGTCCGACCCACCAGCTCACAACGATCAAGCAGGTACGTTCTATCAGAATTCTAGGCTATTGCATTGCTAACTTAAAGCTACCTAAAGCGTTTCGTATACATTTTAGAAATAGCTCTTAAATATATGTATTTATTTTGTTCCTAACGTTTTCGTACCAAATATTTTCTAACAGTAAAAATAGTTTGTCAACTCAATTTTTAACTTATTTACATAAATTGTTTTTAAAATTAAATATAGTGCTATTGAAATAAAACACTTTAACTAAAGTAAAAAATATTTTTAACTACGGCCCGACGTTTCCAATGCTTTGCAGCAGCCGTAGTCATGGGGAGACTGATTCAAAATTTCAAATACATAAGGTTAAGTAATATATATCGCGTTTTAAACCGTTAAAGTGTTTTTTTTAAATGTCTACTACTCGCGTAAACTATAAACAATACATAGATAGTTTTATGTATTGTTATTATAACTGATATTAAGAATAAGACATATATGTTACGGTGTTTATTTTACTTGCGAATGATTTTAGTAAATATCTTTAGGAACTCATAAACGAATTTAATAAGCCAAATATTTCAACAGAGACTTCGACGATACAGACACAGAGAATCTTGACCGCAATTCGCTCGCTTCATTCGGGAGCGGCAACACAACAGACTCGGACAAGGTAAGCTTTAGACACATTTACGTCTCGTGTAGTACATCTGCTATGGAGAGTTTTTATTACAGGACAACCAAATACGTTAAGACCGTTTATTTTAATCAAGATGGAATTGGTACACAATAATGATATAAAGGCTATATAATAATGATTCAAATTATTATCAATATAAACCGTCAAGTTTAAAATAATAATAATTTTGTTAACAATATTTAGTTTTATAAGCGCAATAAGATAGAGCTTTTTACAGTAATCGAAAGTTAATATTGGTTTTTAAAATATGAGATTTCAAAACCAAGTGAGCAAATAAAAGTTACAAACAACTACTAGATTATAATCGACATTATTCAAGTAAACATATTAATAAGTTGTAATATGTTTAAAATTTCACTATAAAATCCTTTCAATATTTTAATTAAGTAAAAATAAAAATCTACTCGACCTACATTGCACAAGGGTCGCGACAGGGCATCGAGATGAAGTATCTAGTTCAAGCGTTTCAGACTAGAAGAAATGTGAATTGCTTAAATTATGGTTAAATAACAAAATTTTACATTTCTTATGTCTCGAAAATTATTTCGTTTAGAAATTTCTACTCAACGGCACTCAACTGCGATATAATACTGGCCTGGCAGACGCTCTTTTTCCATTTGAAGTATTTCGATTAAAAGTTGATTACCATAAAAAACGCTACTTGTTAACCTTACATAATAGATATATGGCGGGGACATTTTGTTAAATTATTTAAATAAGAACAATTATCTTATACATATTTGTTTTAATATCTCATGACGTTCAAGAAGATGATTAACTCTATCCGTTATGCCCAAACAAATCCTACTGTTTCTTCGCTCGTATTGGTCGCAGCGCGATGTTTTATAGCTAGTTTTACTTCTAGCCTTATTCGATAAATGATCCAACAGAAAGATACATTTTCTACTGACATTAGCGCGTTCAAACAAACCTTTTCAGTTTTATAATATTACTCGTAGTATAGATATCGGTCTTCATCATATTAACGTGGCAGGCGAGAAATTATTCGAGCTCGTTACCTTCTTATATTCGAAGTAATTTATGCAAAGTTAAATCTTTTTAGAATTAAACGATTTTTGCCAATATTTATTATACAACACACTGATAGTTCTTTTTGGAATGGTTATATTAAAATTAATCTTAGCTAAGTAAAAGAGATCTATTATTATTTTTTGATTGAAAAAGTTGCGACTCCCTATCAATTCAGTATTCAAATGTCGAACTATGCTTTTTCAACAACGCAAAGTTAAACATAAACCGTAGTTTATTACAATGATACAAACGTTGTTATGAAGACACTGAATAAATTAGTTGTAATAATAACAATGGATAGGATACATGATGGATGGATAGGAACAATTTAAATGTTCAGCAAAGAAATATTTTCTTAGTACAAATATCAATTTTAAATACAATTACCGGAGAGAAATGTAAAAATGCGTTAAAGCTCTACCGTTTTATTTTTTAAAACTACGTTCTGCAGTTGAATTGAACTTTGTAAGGAAAATAGAAGGAGCTTTCAGTTATTAACAGCTTTTCAAAGACTTTGAAAAAAGTGGCTTTGACTATGCTTTAGATTTGCTCATTTTTAAATTAATCGTTATGTCAAAGTTTACACTTTCTCATCACATCTAGTCACAGTTGTTATCGTGCTGAAGAAGATAATACATATTTATTTGTATATTTATTTGCTATTATTAAATATTTTAGATGCAGAACAAAACTACAAATCACGACACTCTCAGCATTTATATAAATCTAATCTCCACTAACGTGCTTACAATAACAATAGTTAATTTGTATTCATCACCACTATGTGCCTTTTAACAGTTCCCACCGGTGGGGCTTGGGCCTCCTTGGCCAAGCGCGTGGTGCTATAACGCTTCAATGAAAGAGATATGACTGGGGATCAAACTCCCAACTCCACGTACGAATGTGGGTGTGCAAACCACGAGAATAACACGCCTCTCAACTTTATATTCAGCGTCTACAGTTTATGTGATGTTTAGTAAAACTTTTACAGCTGTGCGTTTTTGTAAAACAAGAAAATAGTACTTGCACAGTAATTATACATCGTGTAGTTTCATTACCTCGGGGTGCACACTGACATATACATATTTTCGTAATCACAAAGCACCGTTTTATACGCGCGAAGTAAAAACGGGGTTAACTTCATTATGTAGTTTTAAACGCTTTCATTTAGCGTAAAGCGTTGTAATTATATGACGTATATTCGCTTATAACTTCAGTGAATATTTTTCCCGACCTATATGTAAAAGCGTACAGTTAATGCAGTTAGCTGCCGCCGGCCCCGTGCGGACTACATATATTCTTAAATGAACATTTTCCTATTAATTAGTTCATCAGAAACTGCAAACAAGCGCGAAATATGAGGTGTGCAGCAGGGTAATTGCGGGGCCAAGTTTAATTAGTTAATATATAAGATTCCACATATGCCTTTTCAACTCAACATTTCATAAGGGCGCTGCTGGAAAAGGCTTTTATCTGCATACACTCGTACGTTCTGCGTACTTTCCGCTCTCGCTTTGCCAGCGAAGGGCTTAATTAAATTAAATTATTTCTTGACTTCGCAGTACGCTGTCACAGTTTTTGCAGAGGTGCAAAATTGAGATGTAATTAACATTTGACAGAAATGCTAAATTTAGTATTGTATTGTACTTTTTAGTGGATCCATGGTGGCTCCATTACACTCACAAACGATTGGCATTTGGATTACGATCCCGTGGTTTATGACATCAGTGAGAGCAGTATTCCGAATTTTACAATTCCTGTTTTGGACGGACTTATTTATATAACGTTATGCCAACGCTCCGGGTCCAACATTTTTGTAATTTTTATAATTTCTTCGAAACATGTTGGACTTAGTCTGGAAATCTGGATATTGAATGGGCGGTAAGAATATCGATGTGCCGTCCGGGTTCGAACTACCGTCCACAGATGAAAAGCCGTGAAGCTTAATCACGTTTCCGTTTCCGTCTGAGGATTTCCGAATATCCAAAAGCCAAAATAGTTCGACATCGCATCTTGTTAAGATGCTGGGGTATTTTACCTACCATCAAGTGACCCCATGCTTGTGACAGACTCTTCTATCATTCAAAAAATATCTCACAATTATACGACTAGACAGAAAGAACAATTCCCTTCTCTTCCTTTCCCTGTAAAACTAACCTAAATATACAGTACTGAAATTAATGTCGCTAATTTAATACTCACTCAAGCGTTGAAAATAGAAAGAAGCGTGTGAATGACAGGCAAGAAGAAATAGAGATGTTTCATGTTCACGAGAAAAAACTAACAAGATATCATGAAGAATTGTAAAACAAAATAGCATATCATGAATGCGATGCATGTCAAAGGAACAGGAAAGAAAGCTCTCGTAATTGGCTGCGTCGTTATAGCAAGAGTTGAAAATGACTACTGTACGTGAAGACTTGAATAACGTGATTATTTGCCCACGGTCATGCTGACTTGCTGCCTTGATTGATACTTTCACGCTTGGTTGAGCTTATTCTGCTTCGAATAACTTATTTTTCAAATTGTCTCATTGACTCGTGTTTTGTTATTTTTTTCTCGTTTTTTGTTTCTATGATAGAGGAGGACAAAGAAGCATGCTGGTTCACTTGGTTGTAGGTCAAATATTACTAACATCTAGCATGTTAACAAGATGCGCTATCGACCTATTATTATTCTGTCTTTGGATATTCGGAAATTCAAAGACTAAAACCGAAATGTCATTGAACTTCGCGGTTTTTTCATCTGTCGATAGTGACTCGGACTCAATTTCGATATTCCTACCACCCAGATTTCCAAATTTAAAAATTTAATAAAAACATTTTCGACACAAAGGGGATCGAAACTTTGACCCGTTGATTATTAGCCCTACATTGCTATCAATACACCAACAAGCCTGTCGACCCATTCTCGTTTGTTCCGCTTGTCCAATTTTAAAATATAACCTGTACCAGTAAATGAATCGAAGTTTATAACAAGTAGAATTAACAATATCGACAACATAGTTTTTTTTCAATTCAATGGAGAAACTTTACAGTGTAACTTTAACAAGCAATTTAAAATGGTGCACTATAAGTGATACTCTTACATGGATGAAGATAAAACGAGTTTGATATCTTAGCGAAGTAAAGTTTTAATTGAGCTTTTAAAGCCTGGCGCACTAAGTTCTACCTAAGCGCTTAATTTAAATTTCCGTGTATTATCTGGCGTCTTTCAACTTCGCGGACACGTAATTACCATGGTGAGGACTGTAATTGTTTTAAATGTTTGTTCCGAGCTAGCTATTAATGTTTCACAGCTGAGAATAGGTGTCGTATTTTTATAGACGAAAAGATTTATTGGGTTTAAACTTGCTGCTGGGCGGGTTTTTAAGACGACTGCTGAATTACCACCCGAATATAATATCCGGGCCAGATGCGGTTGCCAAGGCACCTCTGTGCAGACAAGTTACTAACTCTGATTTGCCATTAGAAAATATCCAAGCTAGCTAACTAACTAATTGGTCTAGTGATTTACAGCCGAGTTCTCCCTCTAGATCAACAGACAACGAATTTAGTTCAGTAGCCAAAATAAAGGTCCCAAATCCATAGTAGAATTTTTTTTGTTACTTCCCTACGTGTCTTGGAAGTTGATGTCGTCATTGAAAAGCGGATTAAGCGCGTCCTTCAGCGAGGACCTCTGCAGACGAAATCAGCTAAGATAGCTCGATACAGAGGCTGCGTAGTGTGTAAGGTGGAGGCGAGCGAGCGATACCCCGTCAGTGGCACCAGCGTCGCGCGCCGCACCGGACGAGGCGGGCCGCGACCGCTCCCCTCTGCCCGCTGCCCGCGATGAATACCACCCCGCCGCACCCCTCACCTGCGCTCGCCAAACCGAACAAGAGCCGGCGCAAAATATCTCTACCATGGTTCCGACAGAGTTCTGTCAGCTCGCCGCATGCCACTCTCTCGCGACAGCACACCATTGATACGCCGAGCTCGTTCCATGCACGTCTACTTAAGGGTGGCCGCAACCGACAGGTGACTAGCACAACAAACACGCCACTCGACAACTTTGCCGGCATTTCGACATTGTCATATAACTTCCACTCGGTTATTGAAAAGCAAAGTGCACTATAAGCAAAGTGTATTCCAATCAGCTTCCAGTAATAACCCTAAATTCTAAAATCTGAACAGATAATAAAGCATCATGAAACTTTGCAACAGCTTCAATAGTACAACTAAAGCAAAGGGGATAAATGCGCCCAAAATGAGTTCATATTTGCATATAAGATATAATAATATGTACCGGGTTATATTTACGAGAATTTATTTAAATACGACGCAACGAAATTTCACTGAAAATTCGCGCTGCGGCTGAAACTAATTAAGCAGCACTTACGTGGCACGATTAAATTTGCGATATTTTTAACGTTATTAAAGATAATTCGATATCCACACTACGAAAACAATGTATCGGTACGCTACTTTCGTTATCAATCACAAGTAAAGATGCTACTGACGCTGTCGAATGTTGCCGATGGAAATATCTGTTCAAGGTTCGCGAGTGGCCGACGATCTGTTAGATAATTATAGTCCGTTCAACCATCCATCTCACGGAATGGATTTGATATAGAAATTATTGATGCCTCTATGCACACTATATTATCTAATATAAACTATAAAATAAATACAAATATCGTTGAGTGCGTCATACATTACCTACGCGCGATTAAATGTATACACGTTTAAGTTTACAACTTTCGAGCTTATTGGATCAAGGTGTGATTGAGTTTACTATTCGCAAAGTTTTAGTTCTTTACGGTTACGTGTTAAGTACCTATTGATCTAACGCGGGAAACTACCTAATGTAATGAATACGCGAACTAAATATCCACAGAATTAATTCGATTCTACCGAATAATTATTTAAACATTACTAATAAATATCAATAAGCGCGGTAAGCAATAGAATGTATTTGTGTGTTGGCTTATCACTGTTATCTTCTATTAGTAGATTTGCTTATCAAGAGCTCATAGAGTTGACATCGATCCCCAACTCTTCACCGTCTAATATGTGATAGATTTATTTAATTTGTGGATCAGTTCGCTAATTTTTATTATAATCATCGATGTATTCTAGTAAAGAGGGGATATGTACATCTGCCTCAATTTTTTAAAGAATCAACTAAGAATACAGTTAGTTAAGCTTTATATATCTAGATGATTCAACAAAATCTGTTTATGCATTTCAAGACCACCGGGTTTCATATTTTTGTCTATTGTCTATCTATTTATTCCTTTATAATTTTTTATGAAATCAAACCAAACGAAAATTTTATATGGAGAATATAAGATGTTGTCCGAATATCCAAAACCGGTAAAAAATAGGTAGAGCGTTCATCTTCATCAAGTGAGTCATATGCTTGTCTGTTCTTCACTAACATTAAAAATAGTGTGATAAACTTCTTGCCTGTATTACTCCCAAGTTCTAGGTATTTTTGTTGAACTGTGAGTATGGCACACAACGCTATTTGTAGTAGATGATACGGGAATAGCTATTATGGTTTACCTGTTATTGACTGTGTCGGTTATATAAGGAAAACAAGTGGTGCATACTCGTAATGCGCTGGTTTTCAGGGCAAATTTCGTAACGAATAAAACTTGTAATGGTGACGGACTTGTTGGTTCAATTGTAAAAATGTAAGGAAGGAAGGAATTCTTTATACCTCTTGAATCCATTAAAAATTTCTGTAGCATTCGTCTGGAAATTTCGCTTATCGAATTGTTGGTAGGAATATTAATTCGCTCCGGGTCACGAACCACTGCCACACATAAAAACCGTAAAGAGTAAATCTACGTTTTAGTTTCAGTCTGTGGATGTCCGGGTGTCTAAAGCCGATCTATATTGGCTTTAGACACCCGGAAATCCACATACGGCACATCTGGTTTGAAAGGTTATGTAGCTAGGGTATTTCATCTTGCATCGAGTGATCCCCATGCTTGTCTATTTTCCTCTCTGGTAATAAAAATAACATTACTTAAATATTTTTTTTCTATAACTAGCTCCCGTGAGAGTGCTCACATTTTAAATTAAGCTTTTAGCGTCACTGAAGAGGTTATTTCTCAAAAAGGACCTATAGCTTTTTAAAATACATTTCCTTGTGTTCCACTCTCAACAAGGTTTTCATTGACGCTCCGTTGCGAAAGCTCTTTTAAAAGGCTTTTGGTGTTGCGAGGCGTTCGTACGAGTATAAGTTAACTCTGACTACATCACACGTTCAGTTTCTCATGCTATTGTAAGGGGACATATTATATTTAAATACTAGTCAAAATAAAACACTTAATTTAATGCGAATCTCGTCCCGATCGTTCGAATTCTTTACAAAAGGCGAGCTTCGAGATCGTAGTTAAAAATTGATTAACAAATATAGTCTTTTCAGAAGTTCATAACGTTTTATTTGTGTTTTATTTAGTTCTATTGCACGATCACGCCTTAATTTTATAAGTTATAATTTAGACATTTTACATGTGTAAGCTGTATGTACTGATAGATAAATATTTCGGATGTAGAATTTTCGATAACATTTTTAAAGACAATGTTAAGTACCGCTTAGAGATCACGGTCCAAATTTGGTTTTTAATTGTAAATGGTTTCCTTCGTTTAGGCTGGGCCTGAGATGACATGGGTCGTTGCCGAGCACACATCAGGCGGTGCTGGGGAGTTGTCAGTATCCAAAGGCCAGCAGGTGGAGGTCTTAGAGGCCTGGCAGTCAAGACCGGAGTGGTGGCTCGTAAGGATTCATGGCGACCCACCACAGGAAGGCGCTGTACCGGCTCAGGTCTTGAAGCCGCAGCCCCACCAGAAAACATCACCTTCGAGGCAACCTATGCCCGCCGGTGATGAAGCCATAGGTAAGTTAATATTACAGTTTTTGAAACTTGGTGTCAAGTGACTTGTTAAATTTGACCTTCAGACACAAACGGGGTAAATACATGTTGCCTATACGTATAATTAGGAAGCTAAGTTCTGTAAAAATACTAATACAACATTAAAAAAGGCGACTTCAAAGTAAACATAATTACTTAATACGAAATCACAAATAGTTAAATGATTCGATGAAATAAATAAAAACTTGAATTGAAGTACATCTTTAAAAAAAAATCGCAGTATGATATGATGGCATTTTATAGTATTTTTAGTTTAATGAGAAAACAACGTTTCCTTTTTCACTTACCTAAAATAACCAGTTATCATAGAATATCCACTGTTAACAATTGTTTAACTAATAACTATAATTATTTTCCCAGTATTATTTATATTATTTATATATATACATTTTTATTTTAAATGAGGAACCCGAACGTCAAGTTTCGTGTTGTAACGATCTAGAATTTCAGTAGTATGTTTGTCGCGCCACAATTCACGCAAGTAGAGGTAAACCGCTGGATAGCTGCTAAATGTCATGCTTAAAGCGGCGACCCAGTTTTCAGCGGGTAGCGGGGCGATTTACTTTTAAATAACTTGGGAACGAACGGGAAGTTTATAAGGTGCCAATATGATTCAATTATTAACCGAATTAGGAATAATAAAACTAGTTTTAGAATTAGAATATTTGGACATTAACTGATAAGATCAATGAACGGCGAAACTGCAGTTCGTTCACGAAAGTAGAATTTTACGTTTCTATTGCAGCCTGTAACTTCCCAATAGACGAAAACCCGGGGGGGGGGAAAAACCACCCGAAACAGGTTTTTTAACCCCCAGGGTTTTTTCTTTCCCCCAAGGGACTTTGTGGTTTTTTGTCCCCCGTTTTAAAAAAATTGTTTACGTTTCAACCAAAAATGATAATTTAAGAAAAAGTCTTTAGTAACTTTCGATACTCGATCAAAATATGAAAAAAATGTGGGATGAAATGAAATAGTTATTGCAAGTCATATTTTCCATTGATTAACCGGACGGAAGTTAATGATGATATTGATATTGTCAATATGTGATTTGTAGAATAATGAATTATTGTTATTGTTCTATATTATATACTAGGACGTCTAGACATAACTGAAATAAACGTCTCCATGCAGATTAAAGAGACAATCTACTCAAGTCAAAGCCAATCCAAGCGGACATCGTCGTAGGTACTATGTATATCAATTTCCATAATGCCGTATTTCGCGTGCCCTTAATCGTTGCCTAGAGTGACAGTTCTTAAAAAGGATATACGATTTACTCCAACATATCTAATTATATCACCTATTTAAGAATTGCTCCCCTGTTTAAGTGATTCATTCACTCGAATGAAGTCATTATTCTTATCGATATTTCTAATTTTTCTTTGTTACCGCTTAGTATCGCTATGGCTTTATTGCAGTACATCGAAATTAACTTTTTTTTATGACAGCGTAAGGTCATAGGTATACAACTATGATATACCTATAACATCGACTAATTTAATTATGTGAGATATTCTGAATGCCAAAAGGCTTTGATTAGCTTAATATATATAACTAGCTATACCAGCGACGTTGTCCGCGAGAATCGTTATTTTCGACATCCAAATCCCTTCCTGTCGTTCTTGCAAGTTAATCTTATAAGATACACATAGCGTCGCGGACTTTTTTTAGATCATGTAAAGGGGAATCATTCTTTCATACACATTTTTTAGGTGTCTTGAACCGTTTTTGCAGCGTACGCATCTGAAACCCACAGAGATGAAAAATGTCCCCTGTTTTGTTCACATTTCCCGCTGTATCTTCGCATCTATTAGTCGCAGCGCAATGTGTTGTAGCCTATAACCTTCCTCGATAGATGCTCTAACCAACACAAAAATATATATAAATTATTTTTTAATTCGAACCCGAACTTACTGAGATTAGCGCGTTCAAACAACAAACAAACAAACTCTTCAGCTTTATATATGAGTATAGATAAGTAACATTATTAATGCTACATACATCAGTTATTAAGGCATGGATGAATTTTTGTAATAAGTTTAAAATAATTTAAAATTGATAAATAATATTTGTTTTGAATTATTATTTAATTAGACCTTCAATTATAAAATTACAGAGCTGACCGAAATTATGGTCCGGAATATAAATATACTTACATGCATGTTATAAGAACAGGCATTCTAGGTACCCTTAACCGAAACATCATAGGTAAAACATAAAGATAGACAAGTACAAGAGAAAATAGATGAACGTTAAAAAGCAGTGCAAGTCATATTAAAGTAGACACGTCATATTCTGATTGGTTTCCAATAGCCACGAAAATTGCTCTTCTGCGCCGGAAATTACGTCACATGGTAGAGCCTCAATCGTTCTTTTCTATTCCTCCACATCTAGACGTGAGAAGTGGATATTTATACAGAAATGTCCAAAAAACATGTGATAAATTTAATTTACTTCAAATTAATTGTTATGATTTATAAACGAACGTAAAAGTATATAATATCTTAGTTTTCGAAAGTAGTATATCTTGTTTACTTATAGTACTTAAAAGAGCTCTCCAAATTGCCATACGATTATTGTAGTAACTTAAAGAAAAAAAAACTCTCAGTAATGTCACCTAGGTAAAAATTATACATCTAGTGTCCTTGTATATTTATCAATTGTTGCTAATACAACATAGACATACATCTACGAATAACTGACCAAAGAAAAAGTAAACCCTTTATCGCAGCTTCAATTTATTTAAACTATACGTTAATTACTATAATTATTCTTGTGTGTTCCTAATTTTTGTTCAGTCTACAGATTTCTTTACGTATGCATCATGTACAGTAACAGGTTAAAAATATTGAAGTTTTCAAATATTCAAAAACATTTTCGACAATTTCTGAAAGCAAATACGAGTAACACCTAAAAATCGAATGTTTGCATTCCGTTTAAATAATGTTACTCTCCACCCAACTAAAAGCCTTTTTTACGGGATTAGGACCAGACTACGCACGGGCGTAGTGACAGTGTTAGTTTTCAATTAATTCCCGACCCTAACAGCTTCACGTTAAGCTGGATCACGCCGTTTGATGTATCCGTATTGTCATGTTCACATTTCTGAAATTGCATTGCATTGTTCAGGAAGAAACTAGTCTACGTTCGGGCAACATAGAAGACTGGTTTCTTCTTGATTTTATTAAATCGAGTGCATTTTCTCTCTGTCAATTCGTTTTATTCTACAACAGATTTAGTCTGGACTGCATGCTGCACGGGTGTGATTTAAGATGTGCTCATTAAGTGTAATTACTCGTTTTATCATAAAGTTCGTTTCGCGAAGCATTTTACTATTAATGCAGTTTTTGCTGTTTCTAGAATTACATTTTTTAAAACCTTTTATCTGAAACTCAAGTTGTATTCCTTTGTTTCAAGATTTAAATTCGAATAAAGAAGATATTTTTTTTAATATTTGTTATTTACAAATTAAATCAAACAATTAATGTTTGATATTTTTTCCGAAATCAAAATTTAGCGTATGGTAGAACGAGGAAATAGAAAGAAATTATACTTTTTAATAAAACACTTTAAACGGTTTAAAACGCGATATATTACTTAAACGTATTTGAAAATCATTTTTAACTTCGGCTCTACGTTTCGGATGCTTTGTAGCAGCCGTGGTCACGAGGAGACTGCAAAAGGGGAGAAACGTCGTGCCGAAGTTAAAAATCATTTTCAAATAAGTTTAACTACTACATCGCGTTTTAAACCGTTAGTGTTTTATTTAAATGTATACTACTCGCGTAAACTATAGACAGAAATTATTCTTTCATATTAAAACATCCTATAAACATTCAATACATCCGATGTTTCTTCAATTAAGTAATTGTTCGTTAAGCCAGTTGCAACCAGCCCGAAGTGAATTATTGTAAAACCTTAAAAGCTTTGTCTGTCCATTAGCATCCCATCCGCCGCAGGCGAAACGAAAAGCAAATATAATCGCCCTGTTCTATCCACGTTATTTGCATCAATTAGTCTTATTAATTTGTTTTTGAGTATTGAGGTGTATCGTACTCGCTTGTTTATCTTTGACATTGCTAATATTTTCGTAACTACTACTATATTATCATTTACATTTTCTTTTTAATGTTAATCACAAGGATTTAAAACTGTATGTTTTGGGTAACTTCATGTTAGTTGTTAGAAGCATTCTTATTTACCCAGTATCGAATGCAAAACAATCCTTAGTCGCATAAACAGACAGTTGTATATTTTTTATTTCAATAATTATTGGCTCGATTTCTGAACCCACAAAACAGACTCCACATCACTAGTAGTAGTTGTACTATAACTGTTCCCTCTTACGTTTGTTTAGATGTACAGGTTTGTGATTATAGCGCGAAGTTAATCTTGTTTATCAGAACATAGGGCTATGCGAAGCGCTAACCGCGTTCTACTGGGTTTATAGCAGACCACAGTCTTAGTGAAGTTTTACTAACAATGTAGTCTATCTGATAAAGAGTGTAGCTTCACTGAAAGAACTTTTCAAATAAGAATAAGATGGCGTTTTTGTTTTACGTTCCGTACTTGGATGCTGGGCTATTGTGATTTCGCACAAAACAATAGTCAGCTTGTTATTTGTTTTCGAGACGCCTTTGGGCAATTATCGGTTACGTGTTTGGTTTCGAAAAGTCTTAACTGGATATAAAAAAATATGTTTTTTTGTTTAATTCAAAAACGTTTAAAATTTTTTATTGATTAAGTAAAGTCTGGCTCACAATTTTTAACAGAATTAAACTAAAACTCCGTAGTTTATGCGAGTAGTACACATTTAAATAAAATGGTTTAAAACACGATATATATTACCTTATGTACAATTTATTTTGATAGGATGTGGCGTTTCAAATTCTTTATCATTAAGAGTGGTTTATTGTAATATAGTGTTTTTTATTAGAATTTCAATAAACCCATTGTGAAAATAT